AATCTTTTAAAATCGGCACCCAAGGTTCCGATGGACGTCCAGAGCCGTCGTCATCATAGTTCAGTCCAATTTCGAGTTCTAGGTAAGTACGTTTCTTTACAGGTCTCTAATCAGCTGTTCCATGTAAGTAGATTCCTTCACCGGTCACTAATCGGTTCCTCACTTTCCGTTAGCTACGTACGTAACTCCCGCAAACCCTAAGCCAGAGCCCCGTTAGCCACCGGAAATCCGGTGCCCGGACCACACCACGAGGAGGAGGGGTTGGCACGTGGCGCCGCGGAGGCAAGGTGCAGGCCTCCACGGGACCTTTGAGGTCCAGGCAGGTCAACCACCTAGCGGAGAACCTCGATACTACGAGAGGCCCGATACATATCAACGCTCAACTTCGCCAATGGGTTTTGGGAGGTCTTACTCGAAGACACCAACCGTCCGATCACCGCTTTCACCGTTCCCGGGAGGGGACTTTTCCAGTTCTGGGTCATGTCATTCGGACTCCACTCGGCACCGAGCACCTTCCAGCGGCTACTGGACGAAGTAATCGGCCCCAGCCTGGCGCCTTCGTGCTTCGATGACATCATCGTACTGGGTCGCACCTTCGAGGAACACCTCGCCCACCTCCGTGAGATCTTCCGATGACTCCGTGCGATCAACCTCCGAATCATCCCAGAAAAATGCTGTTTCGGACGGACCGAGCTGAAATACCTGGGCCAGGTGGTCACGGGTAGGACACCTGGGTATCCTAAAAACCAACGCACGGCTGGGCAGTGCTATTACTGGCCGGGGATGTTCCGGGGACAGCTGCCAGAGCTGTCTCGTGCACAAGGTGCTCCAGCAAGCACCAGCAGAGGCCATGCATTCCACGCCGGCCAACGGCCCATGGGAGGTCGTGACCGTTGACCTTATGGGGCCCCTCCCCAGGTCAAAAAAGAGCCACGCTCCTGGTAATGCCGGACAAATTCACCAAGTGGGTCGAACTGCAACCACTCAGCCAAGCCACCGCACCCGCCGACACTCGGGCTTTCCGAGAGAAGATAGCCATGAGGTTCGGCTGTCCCCGACAGATCATCACCGACAAGGGGGCCAGTTCGAGAGCCATGAATTCACGGTGCTCCTTGCTAAGTACGGCGTATACCACCGCAGAACGCCGCCGTATACACCACAGTGCAATCCGGAGGAGCGCACGAATCGGGTGCTGAAGACCATAATTGCCCAGGCCACGAAAAGCAGCCACCGTAACTGGGATGAATGGCTACCCGAGCTAACATTTACCTATAGCACAGCCAAACACGAGGCCACGGCACAAACCCCGGCGTACCTCAACTACGGCCGACAATTGGCCGTGCCAGGGAGCGACCACCTTCCCCTGGCAATCGAAGAGGGCGGAAGCCCTAGCGCGGCTCCAGGACGCACTTACGTCAGCTCGATGCGCGCTCACCAAAGTCCACCAGGCCCGGAAGAAGCACTAGGACCTACGAAGACAACCGTGGGCACCGAAGATCGGCGACCGGATAATGCGATGAGAGCACCCGCTGACCACGGCAACCGCGTACCTCGAAAGACAAAAGCCCCCGCGACGATATAAATACCGCGTCGCGTGCCGAGACAAACCAGATCGGTTCTCCGAGCGTGTTGCACATGACAAGCCATAACGAAACAGATCAGCTACAATTTTTGGAAACTCCTTGCATTCCTCCGGCAGCGTTCGACGAGACGAGACGTGAACCGCAATCGCCCGCCGATAGCATCGCTGTTACCAGTAGGCACTGTCGGGAACCTCCCGAGCGGTTTCCCGACCGCCGGACCGGACGCACACGACATTCAAGCGTCCATCGGACCAACGGTCTTCCGATTGTCGGGGAAGGACGAGACGCGAACTTCGTGTGTCTAGAAAGAGTAAAACATTCGTGTTAGATGATTCTTCGTTAATTAACACCGCAGGATTTCCAAGTTAATTTTTATCGATTAAAGCTCAATTTATGTTATTATTTGTTAGCGTCAGCACGTGTTCAAGGGTTGACACGTGTCAGGGTCAATGCATTTTGGGCTTTGACCTGAGTTTCAAGGATTTCTTAGGATTCTTTAGGCTATCGATACCCCGAGCCATATGTCTGTCATCGGACTTGGGCCGGCGGTGGTTGATACTTGAGGTGCGACGAATTCTAAGAGTCGCGGATGTTTTGTTTATGGAACGGCGATAGAGAGTTCGATCGCCGATTCTCGAAGGAACGCGCGTGTGGCCGATGACCCGAAGTCATGGTGCTGCATGGCACGTGTAAAAAGATAAGGTTGATCTAGAAGGATCTGGCCACGGAGTGGGGAAGATCTTGCATCTTCTGGTAGGAGGACCATGAGGAACGGCATGGCACTTACCCCAGAACCGTCGAAGGGGATTAATCACTGAATAAAATTCTAACATATTATAATTAATTAGTTAGGTAGGCTTAAATTTTAAACAAATTTAAATTTTGCAAATACATAATTTCGAATTTTAATCAGCCTGGATTTGGGACTTTAAGTTGCATGTGCAATTTAAATACAAATGACAAGAACAATATTTATCGCTTTATTTCTGCTACTTTCTGCAGGAGACACACGACTCACTTTTCTACATCATTCATTAATTTTCTCCCCATGTTCGTCCTTTCTTTCAGGAAGGAAAAGTGATCTCATTTAAAACCCGCTCAAGGATGTTTCTACATTGAACGAACGAATTTCAATTTACAAGTTGACGTGAAAATGAAGCTCGATGCAAGTAATTTCCAGAAGTAATAAGAGAAGAGCAACAAAGGGAGTGTTTAAACACCCATGGAAGATACTACGAAGAAAGCTTCTTTTCCTTTACAAAATCCATTCAATACACAATTTCACCCGATTTTCTACTCCCTGCTTGCTCCATCCAGAGCGGAAATAGCTTCTTAACGGTTCGATAAACAGAGGTTTCTCGTTAGAAAACATCAGTCAAATACACGTCGATTTCTGTTGATGGGCAATGCTTTATCTAAATGAAGCATGAGCTGACGTTTCTAACGATTATATCAATTCCTCGCTCGAAAATATTAAATAAAATAAATGAAATAAGAATAAAAATATTCATACATTTACCTGGACGAAAATCATTGGAATACCAAGAAAGAACGATGCCATCCAAATTGTAATCACCACCTTACGGGCCTGGCTTATCGTGCACATGTATTGCGCTTTCATCGGATAAATTATCGGGAAATATCTGAAACACACAGATGGGATTTTTAATTCCAATTTAACATTTTTAATTAATTTACGAACACCCTACCGACTCACGAACGGGTGCAGTTGAAAAATAATTGTCGAGTGAACTGTTGCGAAATATTAAAATACCGAGATTATAGAGCATGCAGGTGACAAAGGTGAAAAAAGATAGAAAAAATATAGAGATACATTAAAAGGAGGCAATAGAGCAAATTAAACGAAACCTTCGCCAATTAAACGAAACAAGAAGAAGCGAGTGCTGCGATTATTCGGATCTTTTCCGATTAAACCATGAATACAAAGCAGCTGGAGATTTCTGTCCCGACTGTGAATCAGCTCACCCTCGTCGCTGAATGCAAACGAATTAAACGAACACTGCTGCAAAATTAGGTATCATTTAATTATGATTGTCAAGAACAAATTATATTTTTAATCTGATCGATTATCCAATTGACGAATATGAATTTTACGAACCGGATTTAATTTTGATCGCTTAATACTTTGATAGTCACAAATTCGATATGAAATCCGATAAGTGTAATAAAATTAGGGTCTCTCCATGGCCTGCCGTCGGAGGGGAAAATAAAGTCTACCGGTAGAATTGCAATAAAGTTGCAATATTGATATTTTTTAGACGAGCACAGTTTATAAATTAATACAGTAATCGCTGTTATTGTTTGTAGTCCTCATAAAAATAAAAGCATAATCAATTTTGGAAAATTTATTTGTTTCATTTACACCACAAGAGAGTCATAAAGGGAAAGGCGAAAAACAATGAAAGAGCAATCGATTCTGCGGTGTGGAAGAGAAGCTCGTTAAGCACGACGGGATAAAGGATGTTAAATTACGTACCTACACCATCTTGGACGCCTATTTCTTGACTTCTCTATTAAAAGGAAACATGAGCAGTGAACCGAAATAACAGCTTAGGACCCGCAAAGGCGACGACAGGCGACGTTGTGCAGCAACCAGATGTTGCATTTTCTTACATTCGGCCATCCTGAAAATAAGTCTGTCCTTAGACGTGATGTTACACCCGCTGCTGCAATCCTGGTCGGCCATTGCACCGAGCTCTGGTGGTTGGATGTCCTACTGGGAAGAGAGGGCTTCCCCAGTTCGATGTTCCACCCGCTCTTTGGTCTGGCTGGTGCGATGCCCTACATCGGTTGTTACGTTGCGACGCACGGGCGTAATACGAGGCGGCGCAACGTAAAAAGAAAATAAAAATAAAATATAAGATTGGTTAATCTAGATGATAGGTAAATTGATTATTCTTTCCTTTATTTTTGGGTATTCCTTTACTCGGATAACGGCGAGTAACAAGGCTCGTCGGGATTGGCGGACGAGCTTGGAAGCGGAGCGTTCAACTCTTCTATCAGTTCGCGAATGCGACGTTTAAAGGCGGCTCGAGCTCGGTGTTTAACTCCTCCGCGACGTTTCCTTTTATTGGGACGCTTAGTGCGCTTAAACTACAAAGACCGCAACGTGTAATAGAATAAATCGTAAATAAAATGAACGAGTCATAAATCATCTAGTTACTTACTCGATTTTTACTCGTCGTACAATATAGCGCAATAACGGCGTGGTACAGACGACGGTGCGACTCCTGCGAGCGCTACCAGTTCCAGGGTGGAAGGCCGGCGCGACTCCTGCGAGCGCTGCCAGGCAGACGATAAAGGCCGGTGCGACTCCTGCGAGCGCAGCCAGATTAGACTGTAAAAGCCGGAGCGACTCCTTTGAGCGCTGCCAGGTAGATGGAAGAGTACAGAAATCGAATAAGAATCGAGTAGTTGATATAATAAAGATAGTAATTGAAGTACATACGTCGGGTCTTATTGTAGAGTACCGATTTAAAGAATGATAGTAGTCGTGAATAATTTAGGATGTGCGAGATTCCGTACGTAGGATTGGAGGTGGAGATGTATGGTCGGAATAAAATGCACAGAGTACAATAATGGATAGTTGATATAATATAATGACTTACATATAGTTACAAGATGGTGAGACTCGTGAAGAACTGCGGTAGATCACCCTTTAGGGTTAAATACTCGTAGAGAACTACTGTAGATTACTTTTTAGGCTTGATGTGCACAAGATGAACGGCTCTGGTAGGACTACTGAGATTGGGCTCTGGGTCCTCTATTCGTATTGAAAAGGATGCTGGGTAACTGACGGGCTTATCGGCCGTCAGCGTTCTTAGAGCTGGTCATCTTCTGATGCTAACTCATCAGCTATAGATACTGCACGTGAATTTATTAGTAGCAGACGTTACTTGAGGAGCATGGGAGCGGATATTGATTATGCATAAGAAAATTCTAGATGCTCCTCTCAGGGTTCTCTATCTACAGTGGTTCCCTTTACAAAGGTGAGTATAACGTGGCAGAGCTACCTAGTATCAGTGAGTGCATATGTATATATATATATATATATAGCGTTATATCAAAAGTAAGTATGCGTGTATACAGGGTGAGTCACCTAACGTTTGCACCTCAAATATCTTTGCTGTTTGTAAAGATACGTTAAATGTCTTAAGGATAAAGTTGAATGATTCAATGGGGCTCACACGATGCTACTTCTATACCATCTTATCCTACCTCTTAGATTCCGCGAGAAACGGCTTTAGCACAGACATCCTTAACCTTTTCGCTACTAACGGTGACTAGTCACTCAACGTCTGAAGCTCGCCATGCACTGACAATGACTTTAGTCACTCGTTAAATTTCACATTCACTTTTAACTTTGATGGAGCAGAATATATGTACAATATGTTATCTGTATGATTGCTGATTTCTTGTATTTCGTTTCTTTTATTTTAGATTTACTTCATGTTTTTTACTTTTTAAGTGTGTCTGCGTTAGGATTGCCTCGTACCGGGATAACGCATTTGCGGGCAAATTCGCCGTAGCGAAAAGGTTAAAGGTAATCGACTTAAGTGTAATTGAGAAATCTCATCTTCCGGGTCAGAATCTCGGATGATATAGGAAAGAGACACGTTAAGGCAGTGTTCGTCTTTGGTTCTCCTTTGGTACTTTCGTCAATAGGATTTCTCTACTTGGGAAAGTGCTGCCTCGACGTGGGTCGGGCACGGCGAAACAATCAAATCCATCTGAAAAAGCAAACGTGGTGAAAAGGGGCGAAATAGGAAACGAAAATAGTTCGTAGTTCGACCAAGCCAATTCTCCATATTGATATCGGGTTATTAATCCTTCAAACGTTACGAACATTTGTTACAAACTATTTTCTCCCTCGATTTAACCAACTAACGTGTCATTTATAAAATATAAGTGGAACTTTATACAACCATAAGTGCATAAGATGCAAATTAACCATTTTTTAAGAAACAATTAGAAAAATCAAAGTCAATCATCTTGAATGTGCAATATTCTTAAAAAAAAATCCAAAATTTATAATATTCCGAAATTTGTAGAGCATGCTAGTAAAAGCCTCGAATCTCGGAATCTTCCCTAGTATCTTTTCGAAAGCTCCATCAAGACTATTGAACGAATATACAAGAAAATAAAACTCGTGTTAAATGAATTAAAAAAAAAGAACGAGTATTATCAGTTGGAATCAATATAAATTTGCAAAGTTAATCGAACAACAAAAATGTGTAGAAGAAAAATACAGACCATTCAAAGCAGAGGAACGACGACAGAAAGAAAGAATTTTTTTCATCTGCAAATTACACGACTAAACGAACGCATACATTCCATTTCTTTTTCTTTTTTTCTTTCGAGGAAGTGGTGTATACGATTTATATTTATTCATATCAATCTAAAATTAAAAACAATGATTCTTCGGCTACACCTGCTGTTCCTCGTTAGGTTAAGCAGCAAACGATAGAAGCAAAGTAAGATGAAATAAGAAAAGAGACAAGAGTGCGAGGATATGCGTGCTTACACGACCCGCCTACCTGACACTGGTCGTCGTTATTTCGCTGAAGCTAGGGTGCCTCTTCGACGGAGCCCTGTGCCCTCTCTCCAAATCACAGATCCACCAACCACCGCAATAGGAAATTCTTCCTGAACTGTTTCGACATAAATGCGTAGATGATCGGATTTATGCAGCTGAAATTCAGTGTTTATTCAACACAATCAGAAACTCTAAAGTTTACTGGTTATTGTTAAAATAAAAGGACATTTGCTCGACGTACCTGTTAAAAAATGCCATCAATTGAAACGCGGTGTTAAGATGTTTGTGCATTCTCCATTTCATTCGTTGTAGGACACCATAGGCAGTGAGGGTATTGTCTACGAAAATTGGACCAGCACAGCCACCAGCATCTTCACTACCTATCGTGCAAGAATTATATGTATGTGAATTTGAAAAAATTCACGGTTCAAGTAAAACAAGAAGCAATAGAAGGATATTTTTATTTATTATCTTGGTCAACTTTTGTTTCATTCATTAGTGTAACTATCTCGTTAATTTTCGCAATTATTTTAGTTGCCTCTTACAACAAGCAAGGAATACTGTGGCTGTATTCTGTCTCCCAAACTACAGGGGCTAACTTCGTCAATCGATAGGGAATGGTTAGAAATTGTTTTCAACTGGACAATGACGTTCAAGCTCATTAATTTTAGATCACGAGTGAGTTCATTATATTCTTTGGGAATTTAATGTTAAGGGGGTGACCTCTCCGATTCGGGACGTCGGTATTACAGCAGATTTTTCTGCACATATAATGGTAATACCCATAGATACACGGCTGGCCGATGAAAACTAGAGGGCGCTTTTTGCTAATTCTGTATTCTATTCTGAATGTAAAAGAAATAGTCAGCTGTTGCATTGTACTTGACAAAATTTAAACGCAAAATGTGGTTGATAGTGTAAGCGTAGAAAATTCATTGTACTTTTAATTAATTAAAATGTGTTTATGCTACAATATATTACGTTGCAGTGTGGAACTATAAGTGAAAAGGAAAAATAAATGAAAAATAAAGTTTCTTAGCTTACATTGTTTTATATAAAAATACTAAATGGTTAGGTTAGAGTTATATTAGTACGTAAATAGCGAATGGATATTTAGACAAAAAGGGATTAAAATACTGCCCAGTAAAGTACAAGCCGTTTTTTATTAACAAAATACTACACCAGAATATGAACGCTGTACCACTTATAAGATAATTAAACGTTCTATGCAGAAAGCAATTATCGAACAAACATTATGTGTAAAATTGGGTTGAGACGATACAGGATCTCTTGAACTATTATGCTGAACACCCTGGTTTGATCTGTAAAAATAAATAAGTTAAATAACAATTATTTTTTGAGTTTATACTACGTTAATGTAATAACTGGTACCTACACTTGCTGATGAATCCACTATTAGTTTCTTATTTCTCGCCAATATTTCTTGCAATGGTGACCCCCTTTGATTACAGTAAATTGTCATAGAACCTACGATAAAAAGTTATTCTAACTTTTTATCGTAGGTTCTAATCAATCTGCATGCAATAACCATGTAAATGTATGTGATTTACTTATCGTTATACTTGTATTGCGAAGACCTGCTTCCTTTTCTCCCTTCATAGAGCAGGATTTTCATCATTGATACTGGTCACTGAAAATAATTAAAACAAATTCATATATGAAAGAAAAATTCATGATGATTTCCAATTAATCCAACTACTTGTATAACTAAAGTTGAACTATCATACTTATGCTGTCATACACATCCTTTCTATTTGATATAAAAGAATTGTTCTCTTCCCGTGCAAAGTAAGGAAAAGTAGCTGAAAGTAAAAATTAATAGGAGAGTGTGAAGAGACCCACCACCACCCCTGTCAAAGACAGTCCTCTTCACTCTCAGATGCAATTGTGTCCTCCGATTGTAATCGTTTATTATACAACTCATTATATGTGCTATATGAACCGCCGAGTGCAGTCGCAATAAACTATACAACAGCTATCATACGAGCAGTATGTACTCGACGGTGCAGTGAATGTAATATAAGAATACTTTATAAATGTGAAAAAAGGTGCATATGTATATGCATTGTATAAATTTTGAAAACGCGTTGAGCGAGCAGAGTGCCGTACTCAATTAATGTACATCCTCACATGTACTTTCTTGTGTACTACTACAGGTATTGCTGTGTTTTATGTCTGCAGGCTCTCTAATAGGTTGCTGCCGATTAAATCTACTGTCTATAATTTCTGACAATACGGAGTCCTCATAAAACCTTTTCACTTTTTGCTGTTGCCCAAAATTTGTCGTCTCTTTGTATTTTTGTAATTTTTATTCCTTTTTGTGTCCATAAACAGAATAAAGCAGTTTGCCTATTCGCTATGTGTAATTGTCCTTGTATCTGATAATAATAGTGATGAATTTTATTCAACTCATCACCTCGAAAGGTACGCCGTATCGCAGGTAACTACTGTATTGCTTCAGCAGGCGATAAATTCTTCACCGATTCAGGTATTCAGGGATTCAGGGCATTTCACTTCGACGATAGTATCATCGTGCACGAGGCCATCAGGAGTTGCACGTAAATAAGGCACAATGGCATCGATGAATGGACCACACGGTAGAATATGGATTCCCAGTTCCGTTTCCAATTGTCTCAAGGTATTTGCCTCGTTCTCTCTTCCGTATTCAAGGGAACGCAAATATTGAATTTGCGGATACATTATACTCTTTATATTGCTCTTTATCGTATTTATCGTATTCTTTCTCAATCGGCATACCTTACCGAAATGTGATGCAGTTAATAATTTTTTACGGTAGACTATCCATTTTTCGCTCTTGGCCTGATCGCGAGTTCCTGCTTCAATGTTATGTCACATCGTTTACCACTGAAGGAGTGTAAGCATGTGCCTCTCACACTCAGAAGAGAATACTGTTTCTTCCATACCTGGTTTTTCTGCCGTGGGGCCGTAATCTTTGTCGCACGATTGCTTTTCGTATCGAGAAGAACATGCTTTGACTTTTTCCGTATATTTCGCTGCCATTTGCGATGCATGCTTACGTCGTTGTTCCATATTTTGTACGATGGTTGTCGGTTCCTTGTTCATAGCAGTACTCAATCGGCTGAACGACTCTCTTGAATTGAAATGAAGGACAGCAGCAGAGACTCTACCCTGATACGAACCCTTGCGTTCAAAGTTTATTCTTTTACCTCCGATGAATTTCGCAATTACGTTATTGAAACTTTCTACTGAATTATTATTTAAACCATATAACAAGCTATCAGCTTGAGTAAAGTGCGGTTGCATCGCTTCTTCAATGCTTTGATAAATACCGCATTCTTTCAATTGTGGAACATAGTTCACTCTGTTCGGGTCAGAGTATTTGTTGCAGAAGTATGCTAATCGTTGACACTCCTTTCTTTATTTGTTCCAACACCAAACTATACCGATACTTTCTGTGAATGGTTTCTTCATCAGAAATGTTCATAGAATGCAATCCTGTATACTAAATTCCTGCTAAATAAAAGATTTTTCATAAAAATACAAAAATAGCGCGTACAAACTACCTACGGCACCTCTTTTTCAAACTTTGACAAGCACTTACAAATATTAAAAGTCATCAAAAAATATAATTGTTCATACAGTCGTATAGAGGACAGTCTCCTCTATCTTTTGACATAAACCTGAACTGCCTCGCATTTTTAGTTTTCATGTAATACTGCATTTTTCCCACAACCACACATTTTCACAAAAATGTCTGCTTCTCAAAAACTGTACGTATAGGAGCAAAACGGTTTGCAGATTCGTGATCAGTGAACAAAGGCCTATATGAATCACGTAATGGATATTACAGATCAAAAATCGTGTTGTACCGTGTAAAGTGCGGAATCATCGACGTAGTTATTTAAAATAAAGTACCAACAATAAACACTTGGTGTTGTCTTTCGACATTGCCAAACCGTTTCTTTCAAGAAACGAAGAAATATTGACCGAGCCGTAGCACGCTGTGACATGCAACGATGCAGCGCTTGCCTCTTCAAATAAATACATAGATAGGCAACGGTGATACGATACGGGCATTTGACACAAGTGGATGCCCGGCTTTACAAGCTGCAACTTGTAATTCGCTGCTTGAAAATTCGTTGAATATGTTGATGTATGCAACGAATATATGCACTGACACTTAAACTACGCGTAAGCAGTTGTGCTTGCGGGTGTAGCCGTATAGGTCCCTTTGACCTGACCTTTTTGCACCCCTTCCCGTAGGATAAAAAGGCCCGGAGCAGAGCTGACAGTAAATCAGTCTTAAGCTAACATCGGTCAAGTACGCACATATTTTGTAACTGGAATACAGAAATTCCATCGTGTATTTTATACAGTAAAACCTCTATAAGTCGTCACCCGGATAAGTCGTCAAAATGTCTCGGTTCCTTGAGTGACGACTTATCGAGGTTTTACTGTATTTAATAAATGTCACTTTGAAAGTAAAATGCATGAACGTTTAATCCTGAATTAACCGATAGAAAGAAATACGTCGGGTATGTAAAAAACGTTGAAGCATCGAATCGATCGGACGTGATGGTGATTCAATGACAGACTATCGGGAGAAGTCGTTATGTCAGCGGAAAAATCAGCCATCGAAGGGAATATCTTAAGCCGTTTATAAAAAGTGGAGCAGAAAAGGTATTTTCGGTGTAAATGTATTTTTGAATCGTTTCATTGCCGGCAGAACTAGAAAATAGCAGTCGAACATTATTTGGTGAACGTCAAAATAAGGGGATCTACATAAAAGAATAACCCTTTGAAATTATTCCAACGATTCTACGTTTCTCTTTTTTTAAACACATAATGGGTAGAAAAGCTTTATTTTATTATACAGCAGCAGTGCCGGTTTTAGCAACATTGGCGCCTTGGGCAAGATTATCGTGGCGCCCATTCAGGGGCTCAAAATTTTTAAGAAAAATAGACGAGGTAATAATATAAAACGATGAATCTGTAGTTAGATTGTAAAAATTGTTAAACTACATAGCAGTTTTACTAATCTAAACGGATATAAATGAATAAATATTAGGGACACCGGGCTGCAACGCTCCCTACAGATCTAGCGCCCTGGGCGATTGCCCGACCGCGCCCCACCCTAACGCCGGCTCTGTACAGCAGAAATACGGGCTTTCCCACGTAAAGGGAGTCCATAAATGCTTAATTACAACGAGAAGTAAACATTGCAGTTGTATTTGCATTTCAAAACGTTGCTCGCGTTTATCGATAAAAGGCTGATGATATCGGTGTTACATTGAAATTATTTTTGACCGAATTTTTTTTTATATTGTTTATTTATTAAAGTCGCATCAACTTCAAAGTTATTAGTGACCACTGAATG